TGGTTCTGGCTTCCGGCCACCAGCTTTTGCCCGACAGCCTTTGCTCTCCTGCTCGAGGCCTTGGCACCTGCCATCCCCTCTGCCCAGTGGTCTTAGAGAACATCTCCTCTGTCCCCACAGACTTGGTGCTCCCAGCCTGGCCCGGAGGAGACTGTCCTGCTTCTGCCTCCCTCTGAGGCTGGAGGAGCACAGTTGGAATTCTGGACCCCCACGGTCCAGGAGCGCAGAGCCTCCCTGTGATCCCAGGATCACCCAACACAGGCTGGTGTACAGCATTTTTGTTGAACGAATCAACCCATCGGTAAACACTCGATAAAAATTTCAGACCCAGCATTGAGAACGTGTCTGATTCTCACCACTTTCCAGCCACAAAAGCATACTTTCTCCTTCTCTAGCTTGACCATCTCCTCCTGTACTTCAAAGAGTTTTAATATATCCTGTTCCTTTCTTCTGTCCTCTTTTCCTGGACTTCTACTTACTATTCCAACTCCTATTCATCTCTCAAAACCCAGCTCCCAGTGCCCTTCTCCACACATCCTCCCAACAGCTGGGTGCTGCCTTTTTTTCTAACCCTGACTATGAAGGGCGAGGCTCTGCCACCCTTAACCCAACTCCCAGTTGCTTTCAAACAGCATTGAGAAAACCACAGTTTCCAGCTGTGAGCTATGATTCATAGATAAACAGGTCATGGTGAAATCAACGTGAACAGATCTTTAGATTTTTTTTCCTGCTACATATTTCACCTTTCATTCATGTCTCTGCAAAAGCAGGCTTGTAAATAGCTGCGTAGTATTTTATTAGGATATAGTCAGCCTCCAGTGAGGTGGCTACAATGTTGTAGTTTCTATTTTATTTGTTCATTTATTTCTTGCAGTGAAAAGTGACTCAGGGATGGCTTTGGATGTGACTCTGGTTGCCTACCGGGATGATTTGTTTGGTAAAAAATTTCTAAAGATATAATGGCTAAGTAGGGGGCTTCATAATTTGTAAATTCATCTCCTGACACAAATCATCAAATTGCTACATGTGAGTGTGCTGCATTCACCAGATAAACTCAGTTGAAATGTTATTTTTTGGGGGGAAGGGATTGTTTGCTTGTTTGTTTGCTGACACGGGGTCTTGATTTACAGTCCAGACCGGCCTTAAACTCACACTGTAGCCCAGGCTGACCTCAAACTTGCTGTGAGCCTCCTGCCTCAGCCTCCAGAGTACTGGAATTACAGGTGTGCATCACCATGTCTAGCTTTTATTTCACTTTTGAAGCAAGGCCTGAATTTGTTGTCCAGACTGGCATTGAACGCCTGGGCCAAGCAACCCTCCTGCCTCAGCCTCTGGAGTAGCACAGGCTATAGGTATGTGCCACCGTGCCACCTTAAGCTCTTTACGTAGTTATTATTTGTAGTGCTGGCAATTCAGTGGAGACCTCGAGCATGCTAGGAAACTGCTTAACACTGAACTGTTGCTGGCCCTTCCTCTCTCTCTCTCTCTCTCTCTCTCTCCTCTCCTCTCTCCATTGCAGTACTATGGACTGAACCCAGGGGCTTTTCGCTGAGCTATACCCCCACCCCCTTTAAAATTTTTATTTAGAGACAGGGTCTCACTCAGTTGCCCGGGCTGGCCTAGAGCTTGTGATCCTCCTGCCTCAGCTTCGCAAGTAGCTGGAATGACAGGTGCACACCACAGTGCCTGGTTCTTGGATTTATTTTTAATTAGCAAATTGAAGTGAAATAAATAGTGTGTTGTTTTCTATTTGACTTTTTGTTTATATACATAACTATACTAGAGGCTGGCCAGTGATGGCCCTCTGCCCAAGTTCAACCCTCTGTCTTCTACTATAAGGCTGGCATGCTAAGAATGTGTAACATTTTCAAGCAGTAATGACAATAATAATAATAATAATACTTGATCTTGCTGGGCGTGGTGGCGCACGCCTGTAATCCCAGGACTCGGGAAGCTGAAGCAGGAGGATCGCAGGGAATTTGAGGCCAGCCTGGGGTACAGAGTGAGGACCTGTCTCAAAAATCCAAACCAGGGCTGGGGATTTAGCTCAATGGTTCTGATATCTGCCTTGCAAGCACAAGGTGCCAAGTTCTATCCCTGGTGCCAAGTTTGACCCCTGGTACCAAAAAAAAATTAAAAAAATAAAAATCCAAACCAAACAAGATCCAAATTCATTTGCACCAGTGAAAGGTGAAGACTGGTTTGTGAAAGGCTGCATCAGTATCTGGAAATGCAGGTCCCGGTGGGGATGATGTAAAATATCTTTCTTAACACAGGTCCTGACAAAGTTAAGCGTGGGACATGAGTGATTTACCCAGATTGCCCCGCCTGCTTCATTTTGCACGGGCTGAGGGAGGGTCCTGGGGACAAGGATTTGAAGGGAGTGTGTGGATGAGGTTAGGGCTGGCCAGCCTGTTCCTGATCACCTTCATCCTGGGGCTCTGGGGACCCCCTGCACTGTCAGAACAGAGGACACCCTGGACACTTCCGGGGGATCCAGAGAGAACCTCGCCCCTCCTAGCCCCTTCCTGGGACCCCGTGGGACCTCTGAGGACCGGAAATGACGTCTCCAGGCAAAAGGAGCACGTTCAAGGGGACCTGAGGGGCCGTGGGGGTCACCCTCACGGCTCTGGGGAGCCACTGAGTCACAAGCCACAGGCTCAGAACAACCCTGGCAGCCTGACAGAGCCCCCCTTCCGTACTGAGAGCTTTCCACTGAGCTGTATTCCACCCCCTTTTCAACCTCATTTCACTTCTTGCTAAGACACTGAATCGCCCAGGCTGCTTTGAAACGAGAGATCCTCTTGCCTCAGCCTCCCGAGCAGCTGGGATCACAGGCGTACACCACGACCTCTGACTTTCTCACCTCCCGGAGTCCCAGAACAAGTGCGTCCTGGACTTGCCAGGTTCAAATCCTGGCTGTAAGTGCCAGGGTGACCTGGGCCAAGCTCCGTGGGCGTTTGTTTCCTCACCTACAAAATGGGACGAACTCTATATCGGCCAAACTCCCTGAGCCCTAGAGAAGAAATGCAACTCTTTAGGTTAAATGCTTAGTACAGCACCTGGCCCACAGCCACCACACGCAATAAAGGCCAGGGTCACTTGACCGTGTTGCCGCCTCCTTCCTGAGCACAGGCTGTATGCAGGGGCTGAGGCTTCTCTCTCTCTCTCTCTCTCTCTCTCTCTTTCTTCATTTGTTTGTTTAGTTGGTTGGTTGGTCTTTTGAGACAGTCTCACTGCGTAATCCAGGCTGGCCTTGAACTTGCTGCAATCCTCCTGCCTCAGAGGCCTTCTGAGTTCAGGGCTCCGTTCTTTTTGTTTTTTATTTGGGACAGGGTCTTGCTAAGTCACTGAGTTTCTCAGGCTGGGCTCACACCTGGGATCCTCCTGCCTCAGCCCCCCAGAGCGCTAGGATGACGGGCTGTCCCACGTTACTATGGTAGTAACACTTTGCTACGTTGCCCTCGGCCCAGGTCAGGGGGAATAAGAGCACCTGCCTCTTTCAGCAGCCAGGGCCCAGCTGTGCGGTTTCTTACAGTTCCTGCATCTTCCACACTTGGGTCCAGTGCTGTTGCTCTGCACGCATGGTGATTTCTGAGCATTCCCAATGCCACGCTGTAGCAGGGGTTGGGGAGGGGAACTGACTAGCTCACTCTCCCCAGAATGGAGGGATTTGCTGGGAGAATGGAATTTTCAGTCTGGAAAACAGGGCAATAAATGGATGCACCCTTTCGTTTTATGTATTTATTTGGCACCAGGGATCCAACTCAGGACCTTGTGCTTGCCAGGCAGGCACAGTGCCACTGAGCTCCATCCCTGGCCCCAGTAGATGCATTGGGAGATGATTTTTTTCTTTTTGACGCGGTTTTGCCATGTAGCCCAGGCTGGCCTCAAACTCAAGGCGATTCTCCTGCCTCAGCCTCCCAAGCGCTAGAACCACAAGTATGTGCCACCATGCCCGGCTAAGACCATATTTTTAAGTGAAATAAATAGGACACATATGTTTAAATGTCGCATTGTTTCTCTCGTGTGAGAGACTGAAAGCGTAAGTAAGGCCCGCCGTGGATGATAGACGTGGGAGGTAGGGAGAAAATGTTCAAACAGGAAGAAAACATGGGAGGAGGTGGGAGAGGGGAAGAAAGGGCAAGGGAAAAAAGAGAGGAGAAGCGAAAACAATGGAAACAAGGTAAAGCAGGAAGGCAAGAGGGGTTTCAGGGTGGGGAGGAGGGTGGGGAAAAAAGAAGAATCGAGATTTTTTTGTGCAGTACTAATTCCCTATGATGAATGTGATCATTTTGATGTCAAAAGTACACCAATACAACTTACACACACACACACACACACACACACACGATTGTTCTGGCCGGGCATAAGGGCACACACCTGTCATCCCAGCACCGTGGAGGCTGAGGCAGGAGAGTCCCAACCCTGAACCAGGATGGATTATACAGACACTTGTGTGCCGTGGCTGGAGATGTGCTCAGTAGCAGAGCACTTACCTGACGTGTAAACCCCTGTGTTCAATCCTCAGTATAATTAAACACATCAAGCGAGCAGGGAGACACTTTCTCAAAGTGGGGGGCTTATCCAAGGAGAGTTGGTCATCCCGGGCTGGGATTCCAACTGGGAAGGAGGCGACAGATCCCCAGGAGGTCTTCTCTGATCCTCCCTCATTGACTCAAAGACCTCCTCAGGGCCTCTTCGGGGCTGCCTGTGCGCCCCTATTACGACACCAACCCCCCAGGTTGTATATCTATGTTCTCTGCCGGGCAGCCCCACCGCCATCCACTGCTGTGTATCCAAAACCTGTCACAGCGCTTGGCCCGGATAGAGGAGAATGAATGAACGCCATCCAACAGTCCTGGGGCGGCCCGAGAGTGAGCCGCGCTACGGTCAGCAGAACCGACCCAGCAAGATTCCCCGGTCAGGAAGAGGAAAGAGGAGCCGGGTTTTGAACCCGCGGCGGGAGCCGGCTGCGGTCCCTCCCCCGCGGCGCTCACCGTGTTGTAGAACTCGGCCACCAGCGGCGAGTGTTGGAAGTTGCTCTCGCACCAGTCCACCTCGGAGCTCTGGTAAGCCAAGATGCTCTTCATGGTCCTCGCGCAGTGCCCGCCGCGGCTCACTGTGCCTGGCACAGCCCGCCAGGGTTAGGGCGCCTGGGAGGAGGCCGGCCCAGGGGAGGAGGGCTGAGAGGATAAACCTGCCGGGCAGCTCCCCGATTGCACCAGGGCCGCCTGGCAGGTGCTACCCAGGGGCGCTGGCGGCTCAGGTGGGGCGGAGGTGAGAGGGGAGGAGGCGTCCAACCCAGCTTTCTCTGGGACGTTGCTTTGGCCAGGGCCTCCCCTGAGGCCGGAACATCACTCTCTCCCCATTGGACGGGTCCACAAACTGAGGAAAGGGAACAGAGGGAGTCAGTAGCAGCAACCAGACAGGCTGGGATGCAGGCTTTTTTTTTTTAAGGCAGGGTCACACTATGGAGCCCAGGCTGGACTTGAACTCATGCGATCCTCCTGCCTCAGCCTCCCAAGTGCTAGGATTTACAGACTTGGGCCCCCAAGCTCAGCAAGGGAGCCAGGCTCTTACCCACTGGCTCTGGCTGCCTGGGTGCTGCCCAAAACTCCCACGCTGCTCCTGACATCAGGGTCTGCAGCTGGATGACTGCATGACAGGCTTGGCCTGGCCCACAGGAGCCCTTGGCTAAGTAAACTTGCCCTGTCCTTTTCTCTTTGGGAAGCTCTTTTGGGGAACCTCAGTCTCACTGTGCATGCTGTGGAAAGAAGCCATTTCTCCTAGTGGTGGTGCACACCTGTCATCCCAGTGCTCTGAGAGGCTGGAGGCTGAGGCAGGAGGATCACTTCCAGTTCAGGGCCAGCCTAGGCTACACAGTGAGATCCT